TTCTGCTTCTTGAAAATTTAATTGTGTAGGTTATACAGTGTGCTCTTATGCAATCTACAAAGTATCCTTGGTGTTTCTGATTAGATCCCCTCTCTTTTCCCTTTTGCTCAGGCCTTGGGCTCTGATGTTAGTCTGCTTGAGAGGCTGTGCCACATACTAGCTCTTGGCAAATTGATGTAACCCTGCTCTCCCCTGCAAGCTTTAGTTTCTTCTAATGATAATAATAGTATTTACCTTGTGGCATCAGGCTGAGTAGTAAATGAGGTGATGTATATGACATACACAGCAAACTTCTTGGAACATAATGAGTGTTTAATAATTGTTTGCTACATTAGTCTTAGTTTACTTTGATATTACACATAGTACTTTAAAAATGAAAAGTTAAGTTTGTACATTTTTCTGTGATGTAGTTTTATAGATAGATTTAGGGCCATACATTGGCCCTAGAGGTCAAGAGCCATAGTGCTGTGTGGCTAGCTGAGGTGAACTCCAGGCTTTCATTTCTTATTCTGTGATGTCCCAGCTAGTCATTCAGCCCACATTTATTGAAGGCCTGCAATGTGCTGGGTCCTTGGTAAGTACCGAGAGCTACAGGATGACACAGTTATCCCAACGTTGAGCACCCCTCGCCAGTACCCGATCTCTGGCCACAGGCTTGCTGAGCACAAGGCTTAGTGCTCAGCAGGTTATTTCTTCTTTCACAGATATTCTGTAGCCTTCTCACTCAAAATACAAGCTTGGGACTCCATGATGTTTAAAACAAAACAAAACAAAACAAAACAAAACAAAACAAAACAAAACAAAGCAAAGCAAAGCAAAGCAAAGCAAAGCAAAGCAAATTCACTTTCCCTTATTCCTGGAACAACTGCAAGGAATCAGCTTCTCTGCTCTACTTTTCACTAGCAGACTTCTCCTCTTCTTAATCTCTTGTTCAGGAGCGTTGTAAGAATATGATATCAGTACCCACCACTCCTCTGACAGGGCTATTTTCAAGGTCACCAATGACCTCCTCATTACCAAAGCCCTTAGCTTCACCTTGGACCATGCCTCCATGCTCTAAAGCAGTGCTGTCCAGTGGAACTTTTTGTGATGATGGCTGTGTTCTATTCTGTGTTGCCCAATACGGTAGCCGATAGCCACATGTGGCTATTGAACACTTGAAATGTGGCAAGTGCGACTGAGGAATTGAATTTTAAATTTCATTTAATTTTCATTAATTTAAGTTTAAATAGTCACTCCTGGCTAGTGGCTACTGCATTAGACAGCACAGCTCTCGAGCATTCAATATTGTTTTCATCCACTTCTTTCTGGAAACCCTGTGCTCTTAGCTTTGGTGGCACAGCATTCTTCTGGTTCTCTCTTAGCTCCTCTCTGTCTCCTCCTACTCGTCCTGCCCACTAAGAACAGCATCCTCAAAGTGTCTGTGCTCAACCTTCTCCCTTCTCTTTCTGCACTCTCTTCCCAGTGCAGTCAGTCCCTGGGTTCCAACTAGAAGCCATAAGGAAATGACATCCAACACTCTCTCCAGCCCTCACTCCTTTCTGGCTTCAGACCACTATTTCCAACCCCAGTCTGGTGTTGGCACTTGAACGTTCTGTAGTCAGTCACCTTGGATTGACCATGGCTCTAACTGAAATCATTATTATTCTCACGTCCACTTACCCCTCCTCCTCCACTGGCGCTGCTCTTTCCTCTAGTGACAACAGGTTTTCCTTTCCTCTTTGGCGTCATCGGTGACGTGCCTCTCTCTCTGTTGTCTCTCACTCCCTAACTCTTGTAGAGTCTTGAGATTCCTCTTTTTCAGTCCTCTGCTTTCATTCTCAAGGGCTCTCCCTCTTTTTATGATTATAAAAGCAATAAATATTTATTAATGAAAATTTGCTAGATTGAGAAAAACACAAAAAAAGAAAAGAAAAGAAAACTTGCTGTGATTCTAACCACCCAGACAACCATGTTTAATTTTTTGGGTATGACTTCCCACATGTAACCTCTCATAACCTCTTGCCTGGATTGCTGTGGCTGTGAACGCTCCATGTCTCCCCACTCTAATCCACTGCTATTTCCCAAGGCATGATTCTGATCATGTCATTCTTCTGTTCCGCTCATAAATCTCCAGAGGCACCCAGTTGTCTACTGAATTAAATTTGTCCCCACTGATGCGGCGCCATGCCAAGCCGACCTCTGCTTTCCTAGCGTACAACAGTCTCGTATGGAAGATGTTACTGACACGTTACAACAAGAAACACACACAAAAACAGGAAGTCAAAGTATTGCTTATGGTTGTGATTAGATACCTGTTTGGTCTGGCTTAAATTTATGAAGCTCTATTGCTTCCATTCTTTTTTTCTAGAAAACAAAACTCCAAAGTTATTGCCTTTCAGATTGTGGTAGGCAGATTTATTGTACTGGATTTCACCTCTCTCAAAATAAATAAATGTTTTTCCCGATTTAGTAACTGAGGTAGTTGCTGTTTCCAGTTCTATGTATATTTTCTAATCACACAGTATAAAACCCTATCGGGTTAAATATTTCCTTTCTTGTGTCCCTGGAGAGAACTCTTTCCCAGGGCTGAGAAACTCTGACCTCTTCTTAAGAAACATCGCTCCTGCCTTGAGTCTTGATACCTCAAGTCAATTAAAAATGAATCAATAAATATTGATTGCAGGCCTATAAGAAATGGGTTTCTCCGTGGGATGAAGATGTTCTGGAAATCTTAGAATTAGGGGTCTTCCTGACAAATGGATTCGGTGGCTTCACAAAGGCCACATTGTTCGTGTCTTGAGCACCCAGCTGGGTGTACCCTGGCTGATGGCAGTGTGCTCGTGCTGTGGCCTCCTTGGTGTTGGTGTTTGGGAGGTTTTCTATGGGAGGAGGAGGACTTTGTTAAGTTTTATTTGGTGGCCTGAAATTTAATCTTGTGCTCATTGAGAACGGATCTAGCCCTTAATGAATTCTGTCCTCAGCTCTGTCTTATTTATCTTTTAACAGCTCCCTGGCACATAGCAAGCAATTAATAAAAGGTTGCTATTATAAGGATTATGATTATACAGATGTCTCCACAAACAAATTCTTTGTCTCTGCCTTTTCTCATGCTCCAGACCAAGGTTCCCAGCTGCCTACTGGATGTCATACACATTTGCACCTTTGCCCATGCTGTAGGCTCTGCCAAGCATGCCTTTCCACCTCCTCTCCTTCTATTAAAATCCTATTCACATGTTTAGGACCAGGCTGATGCCTCCTCCTATATGAAACCTTCCCTCCTTAGAGTTCATAGCCTCTTCTTCTATACTCTACATTGTTTCTTTGTACCACCCAATCCCACTGCCCCGTAGTGAGCTAACTGTTTGTTACCTGTAATAACTTCAGTTGTTTACATGTCCGTCTCTAAATCCCTCTCTTGAAGGTGGTGGAGACTGTTCAAGACATTTACGATGCCCGCTGTGGCTATCACAGAACCTTGCATGTAGTACACGGTTAATCAATGTTTGTCTGATTTAAGCTGTTCTAGAAATTCAAAAGCCACCAACTCTTTTTTTTTTTTTTTAAAGATTTTATTTATTTATTTTTCCCCCCAAAGCCCCAGAAGATAGTTGTATGTCATAGCTGCACA